CTGGGAACTCGGACAGGCTGTGCTGAATAGGACTGCACTATCCGGACCCTGGGCAGCCAGCCGGGGATACCCCGATACCTGGCCGAGGCGAGCCCTATATACTATTGCTAAACAATGACACACAACCAATCACATTCCAGAGCATCACAAGCATATATTACCTACTTACTTATCTACTTTCAGAAGCCTATGATAGGTAAAGACATTACACCAGGAAACTGAAGAACTTATTTCTCATGAGTGAAAAAAGCAAATTTGACCCAAACTTAAATAAAGCGGGGGCGGGGAGGGGGAGGCCCATATGCAACAGGCAAACTACTTTTCAAGTAACAATTTCTGTGAAATGCCCAATCATGTTATGTGATTCCACTCTGGATAATTAATATTAATACTTTAACCCATCAGCATTAACAAACCTAATCCAAATCAGGCATAGGTAGATGACAGGATTTGTCAAACTAACCAAGGTACATGATGAACAACTCACATTGGCTTGAAGCCACAGACAGGAATCTAATGTAACATGAATAATGCTTGTCTTTAGGGCCTCTAGTAATACATCACAAATGGGAGTAAGGTAATCTTTCACAACCCAACTGTACTCAAATCCTTTAACAAATTCCAGAGTATACTAGGCTGCCTATAAAACCTAAAAAGACCATGATGTAAATAAATGAAACATATTACATACTTGGTCTCTTATACTTAATTCCCTTCTTTTTACAATTATTTTATTCTTCATAATTAGTTTCAAGAATACCATTATACCAACATTTGTTTCAAACAAAAATAATCAAGTGTAGATCTTTATGAAAATGCTCAATCTTCTAAATACAGCAGTCACAATGAGTTAAATATTAAAGGAAGCTGTATACTTTAAGAACACAGCCCAAAGGTGTAGAACAGCAAACCACTAAGTTTCATGTCAGTTGCTATCATTCCCACACACAATATGGATGTCACAGAATTTCTGACTATCATATGAATGCTTTACAGCCTCATTTCCATCAACTGAAGACACACTTGTAAGTTATACTGCAAAATCACTTGCACACAGATAATTTTTATTACCATGGGGAAGCAGAAAGGAGAGATTCTAGTATTATTAATATTCCTAGAAAAAAACAAAATACCTACAAAATTAACATGTAACTAGATCTTCTAGCATGCTCTCTTGGGTAGAAAGGAGAGAAGGGGAGCATTCTCAGACCTACAGTGCTATTTCTACACTGAAACAGGTGCATCTTGGTTAACACACATAAGCTGATGTTGCATGAAAAAAGAACGCACATAACACAACAAACAATCTAAAAAACTTTTGTTGTTGAGTAACTAAAGGCAAGCAGAAACTTAGGAACATTGATGGTTTAAGTCAGGGTGATAGTGAAATTTTTTTTCTGTATTGTAGTCAACACTGGAAGAATCCTGCTCCTAAGAGTAACATGTGTCCTCTACTGTCTGTTTTTAGTAACTTATTACCTTGGGTCAAAAAAAGGTTGAAAGAAATCAGAGCACACAAATACTTTTGCTTTTATTTGAAAGTTTTTTTGCATTAGTTGGTTTGGTTATGGTGGTTTGTTATGTTGCTTTGTTTTTTGGTTTCTTTCTCTTTTTTTTTTTTCATTGGGAGGGCATTAAAATTAACTTTTCCCCAAGGCTGCAATTTCTGAACCTATTACAAAAAAATCCCAAACATATAGGCTTTATGCCATGTTTGAGTTCTAAATGCAGTTCCCCTCATTCAATGCAGAAGATACTATCATTTTTCCTATATGGATCAAAGCATGCCCCAGCAAAACTAAAAGTATTATATTCTTTCTTCAATGGACAAGTCCAAGCAGTTATGCCCAGGGTCTTAAATTGAAGCTCTCCCTCCAACTATATATACAGAGGAAAGTGAAAATTGATATGGGCCTTCACTAGTTTCCCCCCCATATATTACTTTGCACAGGTACAGCCCAAAACAATTTATTTTACCTTATTCAGTGTTGGAACCATCTTATTAGGCACCTCTCACATAACTTTTCACAAACTTAAGAAAATGTCTAAGAATTCAAGTTCCTTTCTCATCCCCTGCCCCCCCCCTTTCAAACCAGCTACTCATACATTTAATAAGTCTTGATCCACACCCCTAAAAAAAGGAATTCTGAGCTATGCATATTCTTGTACAGCATTCAGCATACATTGCTTCTTCAGCTAACCCCGGGACATACAATACCCTGAACTCACAAATGTTTGTGGCTACTGAAAAAATGTATATTCATCCTATTTTGACAATGTCAAAAATTGCAATATTTTTGGATTTTCAGTGAGAAAAACCTGCATCATAAAGGAACAAGCAAAACTTATTCCAAGATACTGTCTTAGAAAACAGTAGCCAAATTCCCTTGACCTAGCTAAATAAGAATCAAGAGACCATATTTTGGGTTTCCAAGACAGTCCTGATCTAATATTTACAGACAAAATGACTACACAGAGAATTACCACATGCAAAAATATGAGGGTTAGAATCAATTACCACAACTCTGATTCTTTTACTCTATTGAAACCTAACAGTGCTTTTTCTCAGCATCTCATCTTGCATGCTAGCATCGTAATCCCCTTCAGCCAAGATTTCAGGAGACCAAGCACAATGCTATCTTGATATTCATGTAGCCTCATAAAATTTATACAGATTATTATGTAAATGGTTACCTTAACCAGGCTCTAAGAGAGTCATCAATTTTACCTGAAACATATTCTCATCCCTGTTACTGCTTTGCTTAGAAGAAGCTGCACCTTTTGAACTTTCACCAGTCTTTTGTTTCTTAACAGGCTTTTCTGGAGCTACTTGCTTTTTCCGCTTTGCCTTGGAGCAAGAATAAAAAAATCTCATTAATCACAACTCATTTTATAAGTTATAAAAAAAAATTATGTTAGAGGTCACAAACTATTATGCAATATGTATTAACACCTTCCTCCTGTGAAGGCAGGAATACAATACTGTACATTTAGACTGGAATAAAAAAAATCTTCAATAAGCCTATTTTTGTTCTCAGCGAAGCTTACCATAATAATTTGGCTTTAAAGAGAAACTAATTAGATCAAAATTCAAAACTCAGTCTTAAGCTGCGCCAAGGGAAATAAAGGTTGGATATTAGGAGAAAGTTTTTTACGGAAAGAGTGATAAGTACTGGAATGGTCTGCCCAGGGATGTGCTGGAGTCACCTTCCCTAGATGTGTTTAAAAAAAGACTGAATGTGGCACTCAGTGCCATGGTTTAGTTGAGGTGTTAGGGCATGGGTTGGACTTGATGATCTTGAAGGTCTCTTCCAACTTAGTGATTCTGTGAAAATACATTTCAAAAAGCCTACTTTCTTTGTGCAGTAATACTGTCAGTTTTAAATAAAATTTCAAAGTCTGATAGAAGTTTAATTTTTCAGAAAGTACAATGAAAAATGGGGAACAGCTAACAACTCTGGTAAAAAAAAAAAGTAGATAAGATAATGAAAAAAAGGATCTGAAAAATCAAATCCAAGAGAACTTTTTTAATTGAAGTCAAATCTCTGTTCATAACATGATAAATTAAACATGTTTTTAAAACATTGAGGCAATATCACCTGCAAATCAGATTACTTTGTTAGCCGATGCTAGAGCATGCTACATTCCACTAATAGTTATATAGTAATCATGCCCACTGTAAAGGAAGAATAATCACCTGACCATTTTCTCTTATATTAAGATTTCACAAAATACCTAATTTGCTATGTGCAAGTCACATTTTCACATTTGAACCAAGTCAGTAAATCAGACTGTCTCTTTGCAAACCACACTAAAAGACCCAATGTCTGCATTACCACCTAGCATTTCTAAAAAAGATAAATTGACTGTTGTATTCAATTCGTTTGCAATGACTGACACATCTATACAAATTTATAAATTAAATAATTATTAAAATAAATGAAAACATTACATTTATGCATTTAAAACAGGTAATGTAAAAATTATCAACTCAGAAACATTCTGGTTGGCTCTGCTTTTAAGTGAGAAACTAGCAGATAGTATTACAGTAAACATAAGGCACTGAAACATAAAAAAGAATGTGAGCGAGATAAGCAAGTGGCAACATGGATGACAAGGCAAGTGGAGGTTTTGGTTTTGGACTTGCAAGTAACCCAGATACCAAAATTAAGGTGGGGCGGTGTCCTCAAAATTAGTCCAAATTCTTGCCACCAGAAGCAGCTTATACAGAAGCTATCACTTGCCACAAAACAGCAAAGAACTCCAGGAAGCTAGTGGCTAGATATATCATACAGAAAAACATGAAGCAAAATGCACCTTAAGAATAAAGTGTACTGCAAAGCAAAAAGCATCCACCCAAACCATAATCTTGGGGGGTGGGTTTTATTGGGGTTTGGTTTGGAGTTGGGAGGGGGTGTTTGGGGTTTAAGTGTCAGATAAATCATATGGAATGACATGCATTTTGTGACATAACACTCAACTAATTCCTTAACCCCTGCCTGAAATATAATAATTAATACAGTAGTTATAAACTGCATATAATGTTCACCTTTTTGTCAACTTCACTATCTGAATCACTGGCAGATGAGCTTGAAGACACAAGTTCCTTTGACTTAGGCATTCTAGGAAGAGAAAGATAACATGAGAACACTATACAAGGAATACATCCCATTATGGCTAGAAAGTCATCTTCAAACCTGTTTGTAATGGCTTACCTTATTCAAAACCCTCCTGAAGACTTTCCTACCTTTTCATATAACCTTTAATACACATTGCAGATGTAATCACAAACACCCTTCCCTCTTATAGCTCTTCCCCTTTTTGCTGTGACTGCCTTATATGCAGTATTTTAGTTCTGAACTGCTTACAAAAGGACAATTTTTCACCTGTTTCATGTTCTCTCAGGTATGGTAGATACTATAATGAAAAAACAATACAAAACTGGTGTCCAGATAAATTCTCAACATAATATTCATAAACAATTAAGGCCCCAACACTACATACATTCTTACATGAGCATTTTGCCTAGTTGAAATTGGGAGTAACAGCTGCATAGTTGTCACAGATGAAGCTTAAGTTTCCATCAGTAATACAAAAGTCTGAAAATATTTCAGTTACAGAGAACTACAGTACTGCAATTAATATTTCCATTGCAACTTTACCACATCAGACACTGGAATATATTCATTTACTAGACACGTGGACACTCAACTTTCCTTGAATGCATGCTGCCAGGTGTACTTCTACATCTCTCTAGTATGCAAACATTAGATACAGCAGTTGAACATCTTGCCTGCTACTAAAAACTCTAACAAATAAATAGCGCATTTGTGACTTCAGAATAAAAAGAAGCATCACAGGGAGAAACTGTACAAAATAAACTAGCTTGGAAAGGCTAATAAAGTATTAGAGAAGCATACCTCAGGAAAGAAAAAGGAATAGCAGTGTTTTTAAACTGGCAATGAAATAAACTATGTGCAAAGGAAAAAAAACAGTCTGAATAATAATATTGGATCGAATGTGGTTCTAGAGTAAATTCTGTCAATAATTTGGAGCACAACGATAGAAGCTGTAGCACTGAAAATAGGGTATGGGAAGCACACATAAACCACATGTCCTGGTTTGGAAGGACACCACATTACAGGACGGAGGCAGGCAGAGGAAAGCTGGAACGGGGCAATGCAAAAATAAGCACAGCAATGACATGAAATAGGGAAGCCGAACAAGAAAAGTCTGATACGCGGAGGGCGGGACACCTGCAGAGGACAACTCCAGAGTCCGCATCAGGAAGGGAGAGTAACAATATGGAGGAAGATGGAGGCGGAAACGAAAGGAAAAATAAATGGGGTGGGGTGGGTGTCCCCTCTTGAGAAACTAGCAAGCAGAGCGTGAGGACACCGAAGCACCGAGGAGAGGAAGGGTGGAATGAGACGGGACAAGGGAAAGTAACGTGGCAAAGACGAGCGAGTACGAACTAAGAACACCAGATAGGCCGATGCCTGCCGCCATTTTCCTCCCCTCTTACTCTTTTCTACGGCTTGTGTTGCCCCCCAAGGGAAAGGAGCGAGGGCCCGGCAGGGGGGCGCAGGCAAGAACACCCAGGTCCTCCCAGGGCAGGGTGGCAGCAAGAAAGATGCAGGTTACCGGCGGTGAAGGAAAGAACACAACACACACACATTTAAAAAAAAAAAAAAAAAAAAGTCGGGGGTCGTCAGCGGGCAGGGCTTTATCCCGGTGCGGGGTGAACAGAGCTGGGCGGTTCGCCACCACCATTTTCTCCCTCACTCAAATCCTCTTTGCCCCCCCAACATGGCAGCTGCTACTACCGCTCCAGACCCGCTCCACAGCAGGGCATTCCTCCCACAGAGCATAGTGGGCACTCGAGGAAAAGGGAAAGCCTCACCACACGGTTACCCAGCGCACTTCCCCCACACCAGGCTAGCAGATGCCGAGCGCCCTATAGTTGGGGGTGGAGGAAAGAGAACACGGCAACAGCTCTAACTAAACACGCAAAATACCCTAAATACTCACGTCTCACTTCCCATACAGCTCCTCCACACCACGACAAAAAGAGAAGAGATTCATCGCAAAATCCCCGCCCCAGCCCTGCACCACGTGGGAAGGAGCAGGGGGAGGTGTTTAAAGGGGACGCGTACCTTTCTAACTTGTTCCTACCTCCCCCGCCCCGGCTAGGACCGCCGCCAAAAAAACCCAAAAAAACCCCAAAAAAAACCAAACCAAAACAAAACAAAAAAAAAAAACCAGAAAAACAACTGGCTTCCAAGGGGCTAGTCAGCCGCATCATTCCAATCGAGGGAGCCCTATGGGACCGACGGCAGGACCCTACCTGAAGCCCCGCCCATCGGGACTGCAGACCCGCAGAGGGAAGGCCTGCACTCCACCTGGGGTCTGTGAGAGGGGACCGAGACGAGGGCCCTTAATATCTAAAAGGAACCCTTAAAAATAAATCTGTAAATAGTTGGTTTATTTTGCACGCTGCAGCGGTTCCTCGATCTCATTTAGAACCTCCCTGCCTGCAGCCGTGCCCGAGGGAAGGAGAGGAAACGCTCTGAAATGGTGTAGCTGCGTTGACTTTGCATACTGAAACCGCAGCACGTCGAGGCGCTGTTGAGAAAAGTGCCGGTTCCCCTTTCTGTCATCGTGACTAGCATTTTTTCTTGCTGACGGGCTTTTCGTTTGAGGAACGGGTGAGCCTTATGGCTCCTAGCTTGGCAGTCACCTTGAGTCAAGTTCACATCTGAAGTGCTGGGGAAAAAATGTTAAGAAATACATGTCACCTTCTGTTCTAAACAGCTACTTTTTAAAATCCCTTCAAGCAAAAACCCTTGAAAATATAATCTGACCATCTTGTTGCCAGGAAAATCCACAAACGCCAGAGTAAAGGGAGAGAGCCTATTAGGGCACACACCCACAAAATTTTCTCTCGCAAGGTTTCAGAAGGCACAGCCTCCCTTTTATCCTAAACTCCCGACTGCATGTTACCCTCTTCCTTTCCCCATTGGTTGAGGTACTGGGAAGGTACAGCCTTCCTGAACCGCCTACCACATATTCCCCCTTGAACCTATATTTTCCCCCCAAAGTCCAGAGGTTCAGGCTTGTGCAGATCCTTCTCTATTTCAGGAGCCAAACTGTCTGGGCCCTAGTCCTGGTTTAGGGCAAATTTGGGAGAAAATCTCTGAAGGGGTTCCTCTAGAAAACAATCTGAAGAGATGACAAATTCAAAGTCCTTTTCATAGGCTCTAGTTCGGTTTGCTCAGTCTCTTATCAGTCCCTCTGGCACTGGAAATGCCGTGACCCAGGCCTGGACTGGTGGGCCACAAGTGTGAGCTGCCAGTGCTCTTCTGGGTGTTCAGTCCAGAGCAGGTTTAAACAGTTCCAAGAAAAAGGAAAAAAAACACAGTTCAGGGCACTTCTCTGCCTCAGCTAGCTAAAACTAACTAAAAGCAAAGGAGAGCTCTGTCCCGCTGTCTGTCCATCCACAGACAACACAGTCCAGGAGCAGGAATGTGGAGGAGTGAGTGCAGTTTCTGAAAACAAGCTCCACGCTTCTTCTCTTCCCTCCCTTTGCACTCAGAACCAGTCTTAAAGGTGCAAAACTTCTTTCTGGGCTAAATAGATGAATGGGGATACAAGCATCATAAGGTCACCCCAGGACAGTCCGGTTACAAACCTGCTGCCCAAAGTCAGTAGAAACATTAAGACCCATTTCAAAGACATTAACATCCATCAAATTGTTTGTAAAGGCATTAGCCCACATCTTCCCTCTCAATTCCTCCTCTTCTTATTTATCAATTTGTATTTACAAAGCCTAGTTATTATTAACTTAACCCTTTTTAACAATCTGGAACATTTTAAACAGACCTTCCCGACTTTTCTACGCCTAGTCCTTATACAAGGTGTGGCAAGTAAATACAGAGAATAAAGTAGATAATGACTGTTGTAAAAGCAGCGACCCCTCATCTGGGAAGAATGATGCATCTCCATTGATATCAGAAGGCTAATTAATTACTTTATTATACTATATTATTCTACACTATATTACACTATATTACACTACATCTAAACTGAAACTGCACAAGCACTCAACTCCACTGAATCTTGTGACTGTCTGCTGACCAACAGTCTCGACATGCGCTTGGCCCTGATAGGCCAAGTTTTGAAGTCCAGATCTCTGGGACTTTAGAGACCTTGACCCGAGTGTGATGGGTCCACCTGTGTTCAGCTGTCCTAACTGCTGTTCCTGCAATCCTGGCTGGATGTTATGAACAAGAAAGTCCAAAGGCAGCGTCTGTGCTAACTGGGCTTCCTGTCAGAGATTTCACAAGACACAGTATATTGGCCACATGCTGGTTTAAATATACATCTTCACTTCCCCACCACATTGAAAATTAACAGGGTAAGAATCCCAAACAGTTCAAAGGGGAATAATTGAATATTCCCTCGGATTTGGCTCTTATTCTTGCCAAAGCTAATGGCAAAAACCATACATGTGGCATCTTAAGTTTCCGTCACCAGCTTCAGAGGGTGTTTCTTTATTCCTCCATTCATCCTTTCTACTTGACCTGAATTCTCAGGGTGCCAGGGGGTATGGAGATCCCACTGAATTCTCAAAGCAGCCATAATGCCTTAAAGGATTTACGTAATCCCCTGTAAAATTAGTACCCCCATCCAAGTCCACTGCCTTCACAATCTCATATTCAGAAATCATTTGATAACTGATCAAATAGTTCCTGAAGCAACTAGAAACACCTCTGGCCACCCTGCCAGCTGGCACACCACTACCAGAGGATATCTATGCCCTTTTGCCCAGGGCATCTGTCTTAGGTTGGAAATGCAAGATGTGCCTGGGGGGGGTGTGTATTCTATTGCCATCTGTTAGAGGTGGGGCAGCTATCTTCAGTTATCAGGCCACCTGTTAAAGCCAGGTGGGGCAGTTTTCTTTATCTCTTCCACAACCAATCCTCCCTCTGGAAAATACTGTCTGTTAATGGGCCATTGAGTCTCACTGCATGACTGATAAAATTGTGAGATGCTCTGCCCAGGGGGAGGCATAAGAGCCTGAGACCAGAGATGGGGGACTTCAGGCGGCTCTTCAAAATGCAGTTTATTGTATCCAAGATGTTACAACAGTCCAGGATTATGGGTGACAGAACCTGTGCCTAGAACTGTCAGCTCCAGCTGTAGACAAGCCTGAAGGCCCTTTATTTTTGGTTACAATGCATTATATACTTTTCTTTGCTGAGCATCTTAATACATAAGAACCAATCTATACCTTTACTTTTACCTACAGCCTATCATAATTACTATAATTACCATATTATGGTTAATACTATCAAATCACATGAGTTAGTATGTTACAGTTTAAGCTTAAAGTTGTTTTTCAGTTTTCTTGCAGTGGAAAATTCTTAGTCCTTTTTTCCACTTGCTACATCGACACGTCTTGTTTGCCTGTGGTATCTTTTTGCTTGGTAAAAACATCTTCTCTTTGAGGTGGGTTTATCCTTTGCTCTAAGCCATAAAAAGCCCTTCTAAGTAACATACCCTTTGCCTTCTTAGCTATCCAGTAAGAATGCCTCAGCAATTTTTCTTCTATATCAAAACTTGCTTCCATCTCTATTTCGTTCTCAGATTGTACATTCAGAGAGCTTTCTGCCAAGCATACATATCTGTTAAACTTTCTTGTCAAACTTTCATCCTTCCCAACAGGGAGAAGCCAAGTATTCCTACCTGGATATAATCTGAGATTTTGGAACACCACAGACAACCTTTCCCCACTGGATTCCCAGAGGAGCAGCTGTCTTCTCCACTGGATTCCCAGAGGAAGACCAGGCCCATCTACACCACCACTGGATCTTCAAAGGAAGACCCCACCCTTCTACAGGATCACTGCTTCAACAGAACCACATCTGTCACTCCAGGAGGACTGCAGTCACCATTTAATCAGACTGCTATCAACACCCTGACCAACAGGGTGTCAGGTTGTATTCAGACTCTGTCAGGGTTGTTTTTCTTACTGTGTTTTTATTTTATTTTTATTTGTTTCCCTAATAAAGAACTGTTATTCCTACTCCCATATCTTTGCTTGAAAGCCCCTTATTTTCAAAATTATAGTAATTTGGAGGGAGGGGGTTTACATTTTCCATTTTAAGCAAAGCTCCTGCCTTCCTTACCAGACACCTGTCTTTTCAAACCAAAACAGCATCTCAGCAAAATACACCCGACATCACTGGAAAGGACATATAGCTCAAGGTAATTTCCCTGCCTTGAAATTTCTTTGGTAGTCTGGCTATTAACTTTAGCCAGGCACCCCTCAAAAACTCGTTTTGCTAAAACAGAAAGACCCGGGTGTCCTGGGTTGACTATATGATGC